CCAGAATAAAATCTCCCCCGGGCGAATTTATACCGGTACAGTTCAGCCCCTCTCGAAATAAACTCTACCCCACCCTACGAAATAAAATATCCCCCCAGAATATTTCCTCCCCCGGTCGTTTTATAAATACTTGTGTTTGGCTTGTGTTGGGTCCGACTTGGCCCGGACTGTCAAAATTCACTTGAAACACCGAGATGTATCATCAAATTTGTTTACATCTATAGACAAGCCAAACACTTCTGATAGTAACGATGTTGAGAATGTGGAGTGAAAAGGGCTTCACTTTGAGCACTGTGTTTTCATTAATTACCGCAATATGTGACAATAAAGTGGTATATAGGTAGATATAATACTAGATATAAAGAATGTTTAGTAACTTTAGAAGTTCTAGCACAGTTATTAACACGTGTCATGTCAGCCCTATGACATTCGCGATTGTCCACTTCCAGAAAACATCTTGTGTTGGTTTAACATGAAAAGGTTAATTAGGGATGCCCAACACGTTCATTACTGAAAGACGAGTAGTCAAAACACTGTCATTTCCTGCCCAGGACATCACACCCCTACACGCTAAGGTCGGTGAGAAACATTCTCATCAAAGAAAACACACAGTCAAGACACTGACTTTTCTACGAGGACTCACGGAATATTTTCTCCCCCGAACTATTTATATAGACTTGTCATGCAGTTCAACAATTGTAATTGTCTAAAACTGCTTTTGCTATGTGGTGTCTTTGTGGTATATATTGATGGAGAATATCAGCTTCCGAACAACTTTTACTTGCGTGCATGGCTGTTGGCATGTATAAATTTAAGTGAGTTAGTTTCGGGTTCAGTGAATTTCTTGTTTTTGTAAGCAAAAGCAGTATTTAGGCATTTCAGTGGATCCTAAACTAAACTAACTAGAGGTATTAAAATTTAAATGCCAATTAAGTGAATGTAAGTGGTACAAAAGTGTTCTCCTATTTGTAGATTCTCAAGGGTTAGCTACCAATCAAACCCTAGAATATTTTCTCCCACCGGTTATTTATACAGACGTGTTATGCAGTTCAATAATTTTAGGTGTATTGAATGCTTGTAGTATGCAGTGTCTGTGTGGTATTTTGTGATAGACCTAAATACTAGATAAGGAAATGTAGGTGGTAAGAATGTGTTCAGCTGTTAGTAGATTCCCGTCGTCTAGCTACAAATCCTGTGATGTATTAATGGTTGAAGAATTGTGAACTGAACTGTCCGAAAGATTATATCTAAAATTTTGGAATTGAAGACAGTGAAAAAGCCTTATATCAATATGTGGACTCATAAATATTGGTTTTATGTTTTAACGGAGATATGATATTTTCTTATGAAATATCGTGTAATAGTGTAATTTGCATGCTTTACCATTCATTGTACCATTCTAAACCATGTGAATGTTGTATGTCAGTCAATCGGGTGAGAAAACAGCCCAATCCTCGCTCTATAAAGGACTATGTCAATCATTTTGCAAGTTGAAATGACCCCTGATACTTTATGAATATTTTATAACAGTTTATGGAGTAAAAATCAATGCTGATTAGTCAAACCGCTATGCTGGGCTAACCCTGCGGTTCAAGATAATCGAGCACTGTTCTTTTTTTTTTAGCCGAGCGGTCCTAACCGCGCCAATGGAAATACTACATCATAAATGAACTGTTTCGATTTGCGCGGTTTCACCAACTGCTAGCCCCTAGCGGTTTGCAGTTGGTGAAACCGCGCCAAACCGCGCACTATGGAAACTAAGTCGCCGTATAGTTTTTGTATATAGCATTTCAACCGCCTCCCTAAACGTGCCCCAAACCGCGTGGCAAACCGCGCACATGGAAATTCAGCCTAAAGGGGGCGGCTTTTACATAAGCTAGTAAAGCTTGTTTGTCAATCCCCATTCATATATTTATGTATAAAAATCTGTTGAAACAAAAAACATTGAAAAGCCTGGTTTGTTTGCATTAAAATCAAAACAAAGGAATCTGTAATTAAAATGTGTAAGGTGTAAAAAGCTTTCACATAAAAGAGCAAAATACATGGGGGAGAGTAAATACATAATTCTATATAATTTTCTTGAATGGAGCACATTTGAAAAAAAAGATAATCCAAGCATATGCGATATTACCGTTTTAAAAGAATTTATATCGGTCATATATTTCTAACTTAGATCACCGGTATGTAACCCAGGTAAAGCATGCATATCGGGGAACATTGTAATGTTGGTGCAGTTTATCGCGTCTTCGTACTTTAGCATTACACATTGGCTTTTCATATTCCTCAAGGTTTTAATGTTTATTTGTTCATGTACTTTCTAATTTAATTTTTTCTCTCCTTTATTTTTTCTGGGTTATATATTTATCTAAATATACATTTAGTTACTTGTATGTGTGGGGGTGTTTAACAGAAACCTGGTTGCACCATGATATTCTAGCCACTGATACCATTTTCAAATCGTAGCCTGTATTAAGGAATATATTTTAGATCTTAAATCAGAGTATAACGGGCAGCCTGGGCTTAAGATTTCTGAATTCAGTTACAACAGTAACCGTACATGTATTTGTTACATTAAGTCATTTCATTCAAATTTGTTTGGTATGATATATATCTTATAATTATTTTAGGATGGAAGGTACAGTTACCAAATAAAATATGCTGAAATATCAATTCATTATGACCATATTTCATAATCTATTTTTTTAAAGCAACCCTCCTTACATTAAAGATATCTATTTAAAGAATATAGTACTTAAAGACATTGCAACAAACCGAATAATCAGAGGGGAGACTTTATACTGAGGGGGGCGCGAAATATATCCGCCCGGGGGAGATTTTATTTCAGAACAGATTCTCCGGGGGAGAATCTGTACCGGTATAAAATCTCCGGGGGGAGAATTTGTACGGGGGAGAGTTTATACCGGGACACCGGCATATTTCTGTGATATAGTTGGAATATTTCTGTGATATAGCTGTGATATTTCTGTGAAATAGCTGGAATATGCCCGTGATAGAGCTGGAATATATCTGTGATAAAGCTTGAATATTTCTGTGATTAAGCTTGAATATTTCTGTAATATAGCTAGAATATTTATGTAGTACAGCTGGATATTTATGTGATGGGGCTGGAATATGTCTGTGATATAGCTTTAATATTTCTGTAATATAGCTAGAATATTTCTGTAGTACAGCTGGAATATTTATGTGATATAGCTTGAATATTTCTGTGATATAGTTGGAATATTTATGTGATGAAGCTGGAATATTTCTTTGATGTATCTAGTATATGTGTAATGTAGCTGGGATATTTCTGTTCCATAGCTGGAAACATTCTGTGATACAGCTAGAATATTTCTGTGATGATGCTGGAATATTCCTGTGATATAGCTAGAATATTTCTGTGATGATGCTGGAATATTCCTGTGATACAGCTAGAATATTTCTGTAATGATGCTGGAAACATTCTGTGATACAGCTATAATATTTCTGTGATGATGCTGGAATATTCCTGTGATACAGCTAGAATATTTCTGTGATGATGCTGGAATATTCCTGTGATATAGCTAGAATATTTCTGTAATGATGCTGGAATATTCCTGTGATACAGCTAGAATATTTCTGTGATGATGCTGGAATATTCCTGTGATATAGCTAGAATATTTCTGTAATGATGCTGGAAACATTCTGTGATATAGCTAGAATATTTCTGTAATGATGCAGGAATATTCCTGTGATACAGCTAGAATATTTCTGTAATGATGCTGGAATATTCCTGTGATACAGCTAGAATATTTCTGTGATGATGCTGGAATATTCCTGTGATACTGCTAGAATATTTCTGTAATGATGCTGGAATATTCCTGTGATACAGCTAGAATATTTCTGTGATGATGCTGGAATATTCCTGTGATATAGCTAGAATATTTTTGTGATGATGCTGGAATATTCCTGTGATACAGCTAGAATATCTCTGTGATGATGCTGGAATATTCCTGTGATATAGCTAGAATATTTCTGTGATGATGCTAGAATATTCCTGTGATACAGCTAGAATATTTCTTTAATGATGCTGGAATATTTTTGTGATATAGCTAGAATATTTCTGTGATAGAGCTTGAATATTTCTATGATGTAGCTGGAATATTTCTGTGATATAGCTTGGATTTGTCTGTGATATAGCATGGATATTTCTGTGAAATAGCTGTTATGTTGCTGAACTATTTCTGTGATATAGCTAGAATATTTGAAATATAGCTTGAATATTTCTGTAATATAGCTGGAATATTTCTGTGATTTAGCTGTTTGTTTGGGACGATTTACATTTAACGATTGCAACAAATCGAGATTGAAAATCGAAAGTTGTGTTGTTTTCGAGTGCTGATACTGTGACATTTAATTGCAGTATATGCGTTCTGCAACAGGGACGGACAATTTGGTCGATTTAATTCTTCAGTTGACAGCAAACGGTTCAAGGTCAATCTTTCGAGAACAAAATTTATCGAAGATTTTACGGCTTGTTTTATAGCAATTTGGATATAAAACTATTGCTTTTTCAGTGTAGAGCTATGATGCCTGTAAAATCAATTCCTGAACTATTGGAACCAATATGAAAGCATCCACATCAAAGTCTTCACTTTCATATCGGCAGACGTCAGACGTAATCGTTATTTTTTTACGACCACAATGGTAGACGCGCAAATTAGCAAGCGTCGTTTATGTTTTAATTTTCTCCAAGAAACTATTCAAATATGGTACTTCAAAACGTTTCACTATACACATGTGGAGGAACTGTCCAAATTTAGGGCATCAGTGACAAAAATGATGTACGATGTAATTCCCATTTAGACTTATTCCGTGTGCCTTTTTTCAGATGAAGAATTCACTTGCCTTTGCATGTGTTTGTGATGTGCGATCGATTGAGCAGGATACGCTCACCTTTACGCTGATACCTGGTATCATCACGATTTGAAGGTGAGTCAAAAACATATGCCCATGATATAGTCGAAATCATACAATGAACTCTGATTTTAGCAATATCATCTTATGAATATGGAAATAGTTTTGTCTCATTTATCTATTGAATTTTGAAAAAGATTATGAACCTAACTTTCTTGTTGACCGTCTATTACGGAATCCAGGGATTATAAGCTTCGGGTATAGAGACAAACAGTTGACAAAGAACAATGGAGGACTGCATCATCACCGTCAACGTGAGTGGACGGCGATTCGAGATAGGACGGGATGTCTTGTCCAGATTCCCTGATTCTACACTTGGGCGTCTGACGTCATCCACACAGAAGGAGGTTTTCTACCAGAGACCCACGTCTGTGTTCAAGTCTGTTCTTGGGTACCATCAGACCGGGCACCTACATATACCAGCTTCTATGTGTCTCGGGGCTGTACAGGTAAGTAAAAGGAGTGTGTACGTCTGTGTTCAAGTCTGTAAGTCTGTCTTGGGGTACAATCAGAACAGGCAGCTGCATGGTAAGTAAAAGGAGTGTGTACGTCTGTGTTCAAGTCTGTCTTTGGTAAACCATCAGACCGGGCACCTGCATACACCAGCTTCTATGTGTCTCGGGGTTGTACAGGTAATGTGTCTCGGGGCTGTATAGGTAAGTAAAAGGAGTGTGTATGTCTGTGTTCAAGTCTGTCTTTGGTAAACCATCAGACCGGGCACCTGCATACACCAGCTTCAATGTATCTCGGGGCTGTACAGGTAAGAAAAAGGGGGGCGTACGTCTGTGTTCAAGTCTGTCTTAGGGTACCACCAGAACGGGCTTCTATGTTGGGTCTGTTCAGGTAAATAAAGGGTGTGTGCGTCTGTGTTCATGTCTGTCCTTGAATACCATTAGCCCGTATATCTTCTTGTACCAGCTTCAGTGTGTCTCTGGTCGGTCCAGGTAGTGAAGGCTGTGTACATCTATGTTGATGTCTGTCTTTGGATACCATCCTACCGGGCACCTGCATGTGTTGAGTACCTTCTGGTCTTTGTGGCAACGTCATATAACTATCTCATAGCAATTAATGCTTCTGTAAAGAAAATAATTCACCAATCTACTTGTACCTTACATGGCAAGTAAATCAAACTTCATTTGATTACACCGCATCAGTTACTCAGATGTTCGCCTGTTGTTGTTCTCACAGGAGGAACTGGAGTACTGGGGATTCGGTGTTGACGACGTCGAGCCGTGTTGTCGACGTGCGCTCAGTGGCTTTCACAGGCAGCAGCATGACGTGCGCGAGTTTGAAAAAGAGACAAGACTATTGTTCACGGAATCAAAGAGGCAGGCCACATCCACCTTCGCGAAGGGCAGGCATTGTTTGTGGAGGATAATGAATCAGCCGTTTTCATCCAATATTGCAAAGGTTGGTCATTCTTTATTCACGTAGTGAAGGTTTTTGAAGACAAAAGGATGAAATATTATTGATAGAAGAACTTTATGGAAACTATCAAACTTTACTTTTTAAAGGGTGTTGTTGTACCCTTGCTGTATCTGCATTAGCTATTATGCCAAGAATTGCGATTCCCCGCTGGTTGTGAACCGACTTAATATAGCTGGAATATTTGTGACACTGCCGTCAGAGACTCTCAGTCACTCCACATGACTGCATTGTAAAGATGTTGCATATTGAAATTCTCTGGGGTATCGGGTGTTTGTTTGTTTGTTTGTTTGTTTGTTGTTTAACGCCGCACTCGGGAATATTCCATCTATATGACGGCGGTCTGTAAATAATCGAATCTGGACCAGACAATCCAGTGATTGGCATCATGAGCATCGATCCATACAATTGGGATACGATGACATGCATCAACCAAGTCAGCGAGCCTGACCACCCGATCCCGTTGTAGATTGAACGCATGTGAACTACAGGCGAACATTACTCTTTTGTGGTAGAATAAAAATTCTTCGTGTACAATGCAGTTAATATGTAAAGAAGTATTTGCTCAGCACATTCTAGAATACACAGAGAACCATTAACGCAATGCGCAAGGAGTATGTTTTAAACCAATTTTTTCTCGAGAGATTCTCATATAACCGGTAGACGTAATCAATGTGTTGAGAAGAATATATTGTTCATTGATCAATATTGACAAAATAAATTTCCCACGCACAGTGAAGTTAAGCTTCAAATCTAAAAAGCGTTGTCAGTGTTCTGTAGTATATGCCAACATGTGTTCATTAGCGTCTCCTTGGCTATATGCATCTACGTATAAGGGTTCGGCTAGTGCTATTGAAATCGTCACGTTGCGTGTAAGGTTGTTGAGCACATGCCATGCGTGATTCCAACAATATTAACACATACTCTTTACGCCGAAAGTCCGTTTTCATGATGAGCATTGTGAGGAATGTTTACAGATTTGCTAGGTCGTTCCTTAATGTCCCCGTGAAGCTTCTAGTTTTTTTTACAGACCGCCGGTGTGACATTGAAAATGGACCCGCGTTGAAAAGTGACCCGGGAGTCAGTATTCAACGTTGAAAACATACCCGGTCTCAGTTTTCAACAGACCAGGGTCAATTTTCAACAGTTGAAAAGTGACCCTGTCAGTTTACCTAGTCGTTAAATTGTGACCCGGGCCTCGCGTTGAAAAGTGACTCCGTTGAATTGTGACTTCTAGTGTGAATAAAAAGATCTAATGTTATAATCGATGTAATCGTTTTTAGTGTCTTTATCCGGGTATCTCTGAGTGCGTATATGTCAGCTTGCATCAGTTGTTTTACGTACATGTATGTCTTTTTGAGTGCGGTAGAGAGAAGGGTGGGGGCGTTTCATGTTTCATTAAAACGGGAAAAATCCAGATTCAAGATTTACTGGAGAAAACTATAGATCTATACAACCAAAAATCAAGCCACCTTTCAATCTTCATTTTCAATGTCACACCAGCATACAGCTGGAATACTTGGAAAGTTTGGCGTTACACAAGCAAAGAAACCTTGAAATGCTTGATTGTCTATTAGTTTTATATGTTTTAATGATCTCCATCTAGTCTTAAGCAAACCTTTGATATATTCCTTATGATTGTATGTCCTTTGTGAGTGAGTGAGTTTGATTTTAAGCCGCTTAAGAAGGTTAACAATTGACTATAAGTCGCGTGACGTCATTCAACCTTAGCCTTCGATTCCGCCAAAGTGTCACATTCATGTGAGCCACGCAATAACTGATACTTACATCAAGGATTTTTAGAGAATAGGACAACAGACTAAACGTTGCACTTCTCCCTAGAATTCGATTTACCCCATCCGTAATATGACAAATGTCTATTTCAAACAAAATACACGAGACATCATCGACCAATGAAGCAACCGCTGCCTAGTGAGGCGTCCGCACAATAATGCGAGTCAACAGAGACGTGCCGATACAGTCAGTCATTATGGTGGCTATGAGGGTATTTTTAGCTTCAATGTTGCACGAAAACGTCACGTGAGAAATTGATTTACATGCTGGGAATTTGTTGATTGTATTGTATTATTTCTTGTTTAACGCCGCACTCAGCAATATTCCAGCTTTATGACGGCGGTCTGTAAATAATCGAGTCTGGACCAGACTGACCAGCGATTGATATCACGAGCATCGATCCACGCCATTGGGAAATGATGACATGCATCAAACAAGTCAGCGAGCCTGACCACTCAGTCCCGTTGGTCGCCTCTTACGACAAGCATTGTCGCTTTTTACGGCAAGCATGTGTTGCTGAAGACCTATTCTACCCCGGATATTCACGGGTCGTTGAGGCTATGAAATAGATCGATAATAAAATATCATATATTCATAATATTTTCTTTCCTCTTTGGAACAGGTATACTTCCTCATCTCTTGCCTTGTGATCGTTACATCTACTCTGCTGATCGTCCTGGGAACGCTGCCTTACTTCAAGGGTACCCTGAAGATAGAACATTGGAAGCAGTACTTTGGACAAGAACTTTATGACGAGTATTACGACGAGATAAGACTTGCGAGTGAACCTGACGCTGCGGTATTAAATGAAATAACTCAGCGACACAACAAGACACCTGGTGACATCCTTGGGAACTTCAGTCTCCCCACAGACGTCCATGTAAAGAATGAAAACTTCGAACTCGCTGGTTTCATCTGCACTGCCTTCTTCACTCTGGAGCTTCTGATTAGGCTCTGTTCTTGCCCAAGTCTAGCCCGTTTCTTCAGGTCTCTGATGAACGTTATTGACATCCTCGCAGTTGTAGCAGCTCTTGCTAAGATCGTCGTTGAGGAAGTGTGGGCCGCTGAGAAATTCAAACATTCTTACCTGGACGTTCTTGAAGGCATGTTGGTCCTTAGAGTCTTAAGGCTGTTCCATTTGACGAAGCATATCACAGGAGCTCGGGTTCTGGTGTACGCTTTCAAATCCTCATTGAGGGAAGTGGGATTCATGGCTCTGCTTGTCGTTATTACCTCCATCGTGTTTGGAACAGTTGTGTACTATGTCGACTCTCATAGGATGCAGAACATACCGGAAGGGTGTTGGTGGGCAGTGATCACCATGACAACTGTTGGTTATGGGGACATAACTCCGTCTAATGCTGTTTCTAAGTGTGTTGGTGTGTTGTGTGCCTGTATGGGTATCTTGGTTCTGGCAATAACTATGCCGCTGTTTGTCAACAACTTTATAACATTTTATTCCATCGCCAACGAAACAACAGGCCAGAAAAAGGCCAGAAATAGCGAACAACAGACCACGAGTTCAACCGTTAGAGCTGTTAAAGTTGCCGATCAACATCAGAATGAGACTGATTCAGGCACTTATCCAAACAATCGCTGAATTACATATGGTGGTTACAATATCCATATGGACCCCGATTATGTTTGTAGGTGTGTCAGCACCATACCCGTGCTCGTGAGTTTCACCAAAGTGGTAAACGTCCAAGGCCTGCTTCACTTCGGGCTTTCATCCCACATTAAGCTGACCCGCTGTGATATAACAAGAATACTGTTGGAAGCCGTGCTAAACAGAACAGAGATGTTTCATGTTACAGTGCACGTACAGTAGGCATAATCACTTGCTTGATAACGGTGTTAGAACCCACACCGAAACGTCGCTCTTAATTGTGATAAATAAATCTTACCCTTACTTAGTTCTCCAACTTATAAATGCCTATCAAAGAAGTTATTTTTATTGTCAGTTAACAGATGATGTACAAAGTGTACATATTTTAGGTGATAATGTTTTGCATAGTTTACACATATTTGGCCACATATAACCATTTTGAGGGACATAAAGAAGTCGTTGTTGGGGAAGACTTTCTTCACACCTGAAAAGATAGTGAAACTCGTCTTCAACAGCAGAATTGCATAGTTTCAGGTATGGTCTTTTCTCACTGACCCACGCCATCGGTCGTTTTCGATGGGAAAATTATGATTTGATGTGCGAAAAATCGGTAAATATAATATTTTTGGAAGTAATAGAAAATTTTCTAATTTTGGTAAATCTCTTAAGTGTTGGTAACATACACCTTTTGAACTTGATAAAATATACTCTTAAAAATAAAGAAAAGCCAGATTTGTGTGAGATAGGAAAATACCTTTATACGAGAAACCGTACAAGGTATTGAGCCAAAATGTTGTGGAGAGAACACTTGGTGATTGTAGTCATCTCAGTTATCGGTACATAGGAAAAGTCGAAGGTGAAGGTCAGTTTTCATTAATAACGCGTATGTCCCCCGTTGGAATCGATAGCGGCCTGACTTCTCCAGCCCACGAAAGAGACGAGTATGCGGATCACATCCTGGGGAATGGTAGCCCACTCGGTCTGCAACGCAAAAGCCAACTGCTGCAACGTCTGGGGTTGTGGTTGACGTCGGCGTAGCCGTCTATCCAATTCATCCCACAGGTGCTCTATCGGGTTTAAATCTGTTGATCTGGAGGGCCAGGGGAGACCATCAACGTTGTTGTGAAGACAGGCTCTAGTCATCCGTGCTGTATGGGGTCGAGCGTTGTCCTGCTGGAATACACCGTTGCCGTTGGCTGCAATCGGGAGGACGTGTGGTAGGAGAATTTCGTTGATGTTAGAATGTCCAGGATATGGACCAAACCTGTCCTGCCATGATGAGATATATCCGCCCACATCATAACGCTACCCCCACCAAACCTGTCCACTTCCTGTGCGTAGTTTCAGTCGTAATGTTCTCCCCGACGTCTGCAGACCCGTGCTTTTCCACCCCCTCGGCGGAGGATAAATATTGATTCGTCGCTGAACCAGACATCTCTCCATGCAGTTGAGGCATTACCCTGTATTGACGACACCAATGCAGTCGTTGTTGACGATGTTGTCGACTCAATATGACGTGTCAAACAGGACGTCTTGCTCGTAGACCTGCTGCTCTTAAACGGTTTTGTACGGTCAAGTCGGAGATTCTGCGCAGTCCGGGTATTTGGGATGCAGTTGAGGTGGCTGTGGTCGTCCTTTCATGTGGCTGGCGCAGTCGGATGTAGCGAGATGGGGCGGATGTGGTTATTCTTGGTCGTGCCGACCCTGGCCTTGTGATGGTTCTCGGCGCTACATTGAAAGCTGATCGGGATTCCCCTGCCTGCAAGCGGCCTATGACGTTGTTTCTTTGCACTTCTGTTAATCTTGGCATGTTGTTGAACTGTCGCTGTTCGATTGACGCATATGCCAGGCAATCAAAAACCCTGCACTCTAAAACCGTTCATAGTACTGCTGCACGTGCAGTACGTACAGCTCCATAGCCCTTTGGTTAATGCACTGGGTGCGTTTTTTTTCGAATCATACGTGTTTCCCGACTGATGGTTTGCATGTCCTTGTTGTCATCATTTTGATCCGGTAAAATTCTCACTGATACCACAACACATTATACCTCTTCATTTTGCACCTCTTGGTCCGCTAATTTTGCTTTTATGGCCAAAAATATCCGTATTGCGTTTCTTTCTTTTTTTTTAAGAGTATATTTTCTCGACACTTTTGAATGAACCGATCTTGAGAATTCTTTCGACCTTTGGAACCAGCCATTCCGTTGAGCAAAAGATGGGTTTATGAATACTTCTGAAAATCCGACATTATTTAGTGTTTTGTTTTTACTCCATTTATACGATGTCTCATTAACATAACATTCTAGCATCATATAAGTATATGCCGTAAAAGGTGACTATGCTTGTCGTAAAAGGCGACTAACGGGATCGGGTGGTCAGGCTCGCTGACTTAGTTGATGCATGTCATCGATCCCAATTGCGTGGACCGATGCTCATGATATCAATCACTAGATTGTCTGGTCTAGACTCGATTATTTACAGACCGCCGTCATATAGCTGTAATATTGCTGAGTGCGGCGTTAACAACAATCAAACAAACAAACAATCATATAAGTATGTGGGATTTTTTTAATTTATGCCTGAAGTCAATCATCTGTTTTCAATACGTTAATTTTAGGGGTTTCCTGTCAAATTTCCCATAAGCCATACAATTGGGAGTTGAATTCCTTAGACCAGTTACTATCTTTAAAAGTTCTGTTGCATTTTCTCTATTATTTTCAAATTTTCAAAACCCCATATTTCGGAACAGTAGAGACGAAATGGTAATGCCATCACATAAAAAGTCTACAGTATACAAACTAATGATAGGCGCTTTCTTCTAGGCAGTAGGTTGCTTTTGTGCCGTTTCCTGTTGGTCATTTTGTACAAAGCAAATATTTTCTATTACTGTGAAGATAAATTGTTATAAGGTAGTGTAATCAATTGTTAAACAATGGTTGTAACTGTATTACATTGTTTCTGTTGAGATGCAGTAGAACTTCATTGCAGCGTATTTGGACAATGATTAGTTGTCAGGAATGTAGTAGTATCTAATGTAAGCAGTGGTGAGGAAGTTATTTTATATTTAGATGCTCAAATTATCTGTAAACCTCCGGAATAGCATGAGTATGTCAAGCGTCATATGAATATGTAAAAATAGTCTGTGATGTTCAAGTGGCACTGGACTGTTCTCGCACTGTGTCGAAAGTGCTGGAAGCTGGTTGGACTACATAAATGGAGCGGGCGCGTCCCTGTCTCATCTCACATTTCATCTGGCATTACATCAAGACCAGCTTTCTTGTGAAGATCACTTTTCACCCGGGTGTTCTCGGAAGGTTGACCACTGTTGCGGCGAGGTGATTATTATTCTTGTAATTGTCATTTCCACTGCTCTCACATTTTATACTGCCATTGAATATTTTACTACCACTCTATTGTGTCGTGCCGTTGTAATTGCTGTGGGGCGGTCGGGTAGCCTAGTGGTTAAAGCGTTCGTTCGTTACGCCGAAGACCCGAGTTCGATTCCCGACATGGGTACAATGTGTGAAGCCCATTTCTGGTGTCCCCCGCCGTGATATTGCTGGAATATTGCGGCGTTAAACCATAATCACTCACTGTTATTGCTGTGCAGTGATTTGTATTGATCTGTATGTCTAGTGAATTGTGTAATACAATTGTGGATTGTATACCATTCGTTGGTTGTTTGTTGGTTTCACACAAATTTCTTTTACGTACAGATTTCTGGGTTAACTAATTGCTTCAGTTTGGGAATCGACACGTAACAATATACCTAGGTATGTATAATTATCAAGAATTTCCCGTATTGTTCCCCGAAATAAGATATTGATTTGGTGGATTTGGCTGGGCCCCCTCCAAAGATAGTAATTTGGGTTTTGTTTAGATATTTACATTAAGTTTCCATTTTTACGCATTATTGATTAAAGGAATCTCATGATTTTTTGCAACCCAGACGGGGTATCGCTAAAAAGGACTTTATAGTCTGCATAGGGCATCTTCCCGAGGGGACTGCCTCCATTGTCTAGTGGTAGAGCGTCCGCCCGGAGAGCGGAAGGTCCGGGGTTCGATCCCCGGCCGCGTCATACCAAAAGACGTTAAAAGATGGTACTTGTTGTTACCCTGTCTGGCGCTCGGCATTAAGGGGCTAAAGCAAGGACTGGTCGGCTCGGAGTCAGTATACTGTGTCTGAGTGGGGTATTCATGTCACACTGCGGCATGGTATCTCAGTGAGCTAGCACTATAAATCGGCATCAGTCCGGACTAGTACAAGCAGCCACACACACACACACACACACACACACAAACAGGTACATGCACGTCGCTATATAAGTGCAATAATCTTGGACGCGACGTTAAAACCCATTTCACCTCACCTCACCTCTTCCCGAGGCAAGGGAGTTAACTGACTGTGAAAGTCCAGTTTCCACCTTTGCCGAACTTGGCTGGAATTTTGGAGCTATATTTTGGCTGGACTAATGCATCGTCCAATCAAAATCGCGTAATGAAATCGACATCCGGTTGGTAAACTGCCGTGCAGATTTAGGCCGATTGCAGGATTTGCAAATCATGTGTACCGCCAACTCGGTGTCAACAGATATTTTCCAAATCTTTTCATGCTTTCATGCTTGTTACGTGTTGGGGGCTATATCCTACACCAGGAGATCCGACTTGGTTGTGGTTCAGGGAAATTTTACAGTAAATCGCTACATGAATCAAATTCTTCAACCTCACCTTCCTCAATCATTGACGCCAGAGGGAGCTGTTTCAACAGGACAACGCTCCACCGCACACAGCTCGTGTCACGGTAGACTACATTCATAATGCCAACATCAACGCCTTGAACTCTATAGACATGTACGTCAACGTCAGAACACGCCGCAGACACTCTCACAACTGGCCAACGCGTTACAAGCAGAATGGCGCAGAATTCCGCAGGACAGAATTTGCCCGGGGCGGTCACACGAGATACTGAGTTCAGCGCAACCTTGTGGCCGTATGTGACATGACAATGATCAGTTTTCAATGCCTTTGTACAACGACAACATGTTACTATCGAGGTCCAAAATTTCATATTTGTATCTATGATATTCGCATGAAATCAAATATATCGACTTTATCACGTACAATACATTTACTAAAAATCTATCTGTGCGTTTCTTTTTTTTACGAGTGTATGTTGACAAGATTTGTAATCACTGCAAATGAACAATGTCAGTTGCATCGACGTCGTCCTTTGTTGTTAGATTTTATGGCCGCTTCCAGTGGAGACGATTTCGGACTCTTGAATCGAACAAAGGTGAATAGGTATACATGTAAGCGTTCCCAGAAGTACTCGCCTGGCAGTTGGGGTTTAGTGATTAACAGGGTCCAGCCTAACCCGGTTTAACTGTATGGCGAATACTGATGCTGGTATACAGTGGCATTAACAGCTAGGGCCACAACGTACTGGTGGTTACTTGCCAGTGACACTGCTGTCCGACGCGTCACCAATAAAACGCTCGGTCTGATTCCAGTGAGTGAGTTTGGGTTTACGTCGCTTTTAGCAATATTCCAGCAATATCACGGCGGGGAACACCAGAAATGGGCTTCACACGGGTCTTCGGTGTGACGAGCGAACGCTTTAACCATTAGGCTATCCGACCGCCCCTGGTCCGATTTCAAGATGAGTACATAATTTGAGATAACCTGAAATTTAGGAATATACCATTTATGTTCAAATCATGTCTTAAATTTTGTTTATTCCAAGTTTCAGAAACAAACAATTTATATGTAAACAATGTACTAAATAATAATACTATAATTGTCGCAAAACGTTAATTTGAAACTTATAGAAAATGTTTCTTTTTTTCAAGTTATGTGTTAAAGGTAGCAATCGACCATTCATCCAGCTCTGTGTAATCCCCAAACGAGGTTTACGTTTCACAACACGAGGCTCCCGTAAGCGTGTTAT